ACTGTTAAGATGGATGTGTTTCTAATTTTTGAGTAGACTGGGTAGAACTTTACCTATGAATTTCTGCCTCAGAATTGTTACAATTCCTAAATGTTTTTTCTTTGAAATCTTTTCTGGGAAGTGTGAACCTAATATATTACTTTTTCCACACATATACCTGTCAGTTTCAGATGACTTTTTATCTGCCTGCAGTTTTGATATTTTAACGGGAGGACTCTCCAGAGACAACATAGCGGACGTTATAAACTCTAAATCACTTGAAAGATTTTCATCATCTTTTTTCTTCTTGGAAGGAAATTTCTCATTTTCTTGTTTTCTTGATTGAGTGAGCGTTATGGGTCCAATGTTGTTTTGACCAAAACTCACCTAGACAAGCTGACAAACTTCCCTAAAATCGGGTTTCATGACAATAAGAAACTTCAAAAGTTTGAGGACCTCTTATTAGAACTTCAGTGTGCTAAAGAAGATGGACGACTCCAAGGAAAAGAGTTCTCAACGAACCTGTTTACTTGAAGCAGATACTAATGAAACTCCCAAACGACATCCAAGCTCGATGGCAGAGGCACGCCTTTCTTATTTCAAGGACCATAGTGTAGACTTTCCACCATTTGCAGCCTAGCTGTAATACTTTATTATAGTCAAATGCATTTTCTTGCTAATAAACTGAATTGGCTGGCCTTTAGTTAATCAATCTGACCAGAAAACATTGCATAGACCAATTGCAAAATTTAGTGACCGGGCCTTTACACTGCACAAAAACGAGGCTTATCAAATCATTCTGCTATGATTTTGTAAAGCGAAAATTTAATTTAATTGTTTGAGGGGCGTTTTCATAGTAATCTTTTCATTTTTTTCGATACTTCTGATTTGACTATGTAAATTTTTATTAAACTTGTTCGTAAATTTAGTCTTACAACAAAATTCATTGTTTTTTGCGGCCTGTGAGCCAATGCTTTTTTCCCATCTGATGAAAGAAGCATATTACACCAGAGAAATAATCAGGTATTTTGCATTTGTTTTATCTATCTATTTCAAAGAAAAAGTTCCTACATTGATTAATTTTGTGTCAGTTGCCATATTATAGCATGTTTTTTATTTTAACTTTAGAAATATGATTGTAAAAGTTGGGAAAAATTTTTCAAATTAATGTTAATATCCTTTGACAAAATCTTCTTTCTTGCACGAAGTTTAAAAAAACTGGCTAAGAAGAGTTATATATTAGTCTGTTAAGATATATTGTCTGTTTTACTTGCATCTTGATCAGATTTTAAAGTCTAGATTCATCTTTTCCTTAGCTTTGTTCAATTCAATTTGTTCATGCTAAAACAAGAGCGTATTAGTTGTCTAAAGCAGGTAAACATATAACGAGAAATCAATGTTTAGATAAATTTAATAACAATTTATAAAACCTGCCACAAAATATTAGGAAAAGGTCAAAGAGGCTGCATGAAATCAAAATAATGAAATTCACATTTCGCTATATAAAAACACTGAAATATTTTTGTTTTTTGCATAATAAGCCTCATGTTTGTGCAGTGTGAAGGCATGGTTGCTAAGTTTCACAATTGGTCTATCAAATATGGGGATATGTCTGAGTCACCCTTCTAATAATTTCTTTATCTGTATAGTTATACACAAATATACCTCTTTAGCCTTTTCTCAGGTCATAGTCTTGTTAAATCAACTACATTGACTTCATCTCTACTACTTTCCATGTTAACCTAAATTATTAAATTAAACATATTAGCAACTCCAATTAATCACAATAACACCAGAATTACCAAGTGCATGTAATACAAGTAGTTACACACTGAAATAATTCTAAGAAGAGCAAGATTTAAACAAGCTACCAGGATTGTACATTTATGTAGAGCATTTCTCATCATAACTAGTTATTGTTAGACACCTTTATATCATATGGAAATGAGCCCAAAGGAAGTTGTGGGTTTCCAGGCAAATAATCTTCAATATCCCACCATTCAAATGTGCAGTCTTGATATCTTTATTATATAACAAAAATTATTTTTGAAACAAAAGTTATATTTGTGAAATTATTGTAAGAGTTGTTAACCTGAACTTCCCGTTCTTGTCTTTTCCAAAGCAAAAACTAAACATAGATTTCTCAAAGCTCATGTACATTGAGAAAGGTTATTTTTATTTGCAGTTGTAGACAAATTTTAGCATGTTTTGATGGGTTCATGACTGGAAGTATCTTAAGATTTTCTATTTCAGAACCTTTGTCCTTCCCATATATAAAAAGTAGTAAATTAGAGGGAAAAAAAACAACCCTTAAGTCAAGAAATTTGCAAGAAATGTAACAATAAAATGCCATAAAATGAGGAAAATTTCGCAAACGAGAAAACAATCAGTGTACTTAAAATAGAGCAGGAGTCCGAATCTTAGGTTTTTCAGCGCCATCCTATCCCAAACTGATAAGTATTGTCTACTGATAAGTTACAAAAAAATTTAAAGAGTCTAGTTGTCCATACCTTACGTCCAACCCTACGTTTACGGTTAGGATTAAACTCGCTTTCGTGAGTTTCATGTCCTTCAGCCTCACCCTTTTCGAAGACTTTGTCCTGCATGACACAAAATAATTCTCATGAACAAAATAAAATGAAATCATATTTATGAAACAGCAGTAGCGTTGTCGAAGAAAATCTAGTATTGAAATTTAAAATAACTAATTCAATTAATATAAACTTTACCTTTGATAATGATCGGAGAATGGCAGGTTTAACGTCGATTGCTTCTCGGTCAAAAATCTTCTTTAAAGACTCTTCCTCAGAAGATTCCTCACTTACAACAGATGCATATTGTAGTCACGATATCGATTTTGTTTGTTTGAATATATTTAAACTAAGACTTTACAAAAAAATAGTCATAAAAAATATATATTCTATGTGAACTTTTCGAATATACGCTCGATTCAAACTTAACCAAAAACAATCCAACTTTCTCAGCCGGTCAAAACCGGTTTTGTCAAAAGACCGTTCCATGCGTGACGTTTTCCACGCGAATCTCTCGCGCTATTCAAGCGCCTTCTAAACATCCCCCCTTCCCGCACTAAGGTGACGAGGTGCGAATAACTAAAATGTCAACTATTTTATGGTTCTTTCTTAATTAAAAAAAAACCCGTCCTAAAGCGGAATCAATTTATGAATTGGTCTCACTATTGTTTTTGTTCCACATTGTACTTTGGCCACCCGCGTGTGGCCATCTCGTCCTGGATAAGTTTCCACAATCCTTCCAAGTGGCCATCGCCCTCGCGGTAGATCCTTTTGGAGTGCCAAGACCACGTCTCCTTTCTTCAATTCTTTCATGACTTAATTCCATTTTGTTCTGGGTGTCAACATTGGCAAGAACTCTTTTAACCATCTGTCCCATACTCGAGAAATCAGCTCCTGTACTTTCCGCCACCGCTTGCGAGGGTTGAACTGCGTGGTATCCACGTTCTCTGGCGCGAAGTTTTCCCCCATTTGGCCATGAATAAAATGGTTGGGCGTTAACGGAACGTCATCTCTAGGGTCTGCGGATTGACAAGTTAGGGGTCTTGAGTTCAGCAGACCTTCTACCCCGGTATATATTGTCACCAGCTCTTCATCCGTCACATCACTATCACCCATAACTCTGCATACACGGCCTTTTTTGCAGCCTTAACCATAATTTCAAAAACGCCCCCAAAGTGTGGGGCTGCTGGAGGATTAAAGTTCCATTTGACACTTACGTTGGCTGCGTTTCTCTTGATTTTGTCCTTGTCGAGTTGGCACAAAAGTTCTTTCAGTTCATTAACCGCACCCACGAAATTGGTACCGTTGTCACTCGACATTTCTTTCGGTACACCCCGTCTGCTTGTAAATCTGGTGAAAACGTTCAGGAAGCTATCTGTATCCAGGCCCCATGCGACTTCGAGATGTACTGCTCGTGTGGACATGCAAGTGAACACACATAACCAACGCTTTTTCCTTGTTTTCCCTCGTCCTTGTATCGTCTGGAAAGGTCCCGCGTAATCAACTGCCGTTTGGTCAAAGGCGCGATAGGTGAGGCAAAGTCGGCTCGGTGGAAGAGGGGTCATAATTTGCGCACCGAGTTTGGACTTCCTCTTCTTACACGTGTTGCACTCATTCTCCCACTCGCGGATTTCCTCCCTCGCTGCTGGGATCCAGTATCGTTGGTTTATCTGTGATAGGACGAAGTTTATACCAGCCGTGTGATTCGATCGCTCGTGAAAATGTTTGACTGTCAGTTTAGTTACCCAGTGTCCTCTGGGCAGGATTATCGGAAATCTGATGTCGTACGGAAGAAATTCTGCAAATCGTAATCGACTGTCCGACCGAATCAGTCCTTGTTCATCCAGCCGAGGATTTAATTTCGTCAGCGTACTCTTGGGTGACATTTGTTTTCTGGTCTGGAGGGCTTTATACTCGTTACTAAATGCGTCTTGTTGCGCAAGACAAATTATACTCTCTTCCGAGTCCCGTAACTCCTCGGGAAGCAGCTCCTGGTCGCTAACCCCGCGTTTCCGAGTTTCGCGTGTTATGAATAAATCTTCTCACTCTCCCGAGCACCCGTACTAATCGTATCCAGTTGGAATACCGTTTAGGATCCAGCCTCCACACCGTTGTTTTCCTTACTGTCTTCGACTGGGCGTTGGTAATGGCAAACTGTCGCTGTCGTAACCGTTTCGTTCTTAGTCACGGTGCTGGCAGGTTTCGCCTCGGGTAGATCATTTGGTCGAGTTCCAATTTGCATCTTCGGCCAGCTTGATTTGTCTTCTAGCAACCACTTTGGTCCATTCCACCATAAACTGTCATCTGATAATTCTGAAGGGGTTGCTCCTCTAGTGCAAAGGTCCGCCGGATTTTCATCTGTCCGCACGTGTTGCCATTGCACTGGCTCGCTCGATGTTTGTATTTCCCCAATGCGGTTCGCGACAAATGATCGAAAATCGCGTCTGTGGCCTCTGATCCACCACAGGACATCAGGGGCCGGTTGTTCAAAAGCCGGTTAACGCTAACCCAGGGTTAAAAATGCCTAACCCAGGGTTAAATTTTAAACCTTGGTTGATTCGCGTTGCACAAAGCTCGGTTAGCGTTAACCCTGGGTTAAAATTGATAAAAAAATTAACCCTGCTAGCTAGGTGGTTTAAAATTTTAATCCTAGGTTAAGTGCGAAATAACATGGCGGATGTTTTACAGTTTGTTGTACCAATACGGAATTTTCCTCGCAGACAAAGGCGATATCGTCACGATAACGTGAACATTCGAGGTTTAACTGATGCGGAATTGCGAATTAGATACAGATTTGGTTACCAAGCAATAAATTACATTACAAATTTGCTGTACGATGACCTTGTTCGTGACACTAAAAGAAATTTTTCACTAATTCCCGACGTCCAAGTTCTCATCGCACTACGGTTTTTCGCAAGCGGAAGCTTCCTACAGGTTATCGGAGACACATTTGGCGTTGACAAGTCCACCGTATCGCGAGTAGTTCGTGACGTATGCCTTGCTCTATCAAACAAACGAGAACAGTTCATTCGTTGGCCTTCAAATCAAGAAAAAGAGAAAATAAAGAACGGGTTTTACGACATGGCCAATTTTCCTGGCGTTATTGGTTGTATCGATTGTACGCATATTCGAATCCAGGCACCACATCTAAACGAGAATTATTACGTCAATCGGAAACGCTATCATTCTATTAATGTTCAAGCAATTTGCGACGATCGAGGTAAATTATTATACTCTATATGTACCAATTATAGTTACAATTACTATAGTAAAGTAGGGATACTGTTAATACTGGTGGAATGCATGGAATACAGTCGAAAAGCAAACATTCTTCACATTTCATTTAGGAAGGTTCATAAATCTGGTTGCCCGATGGCCTGGAAGTGTCCATGACAGCCATATATTTCGAATGTCACAGATACAACAGTTTATAGAGCAGCATCACACATCACTGGAAGATGGGATCATATTGGGAGATAGTGGTTACGCCTTAAAACCCTACCTTATGACACCTTACACAGACCCTACTACAGCAAAGGAAAGAGCATTTAATCGGTCTTTGAAGAAAACACGCGTATTGATTGAGCAAGTGTTTGGGCGATGGAAGAGAAGGTTCCACCTACTGCATTCAGAGATCAGAATGGAACCAGAGAAAGTCTGCTTGTTAATTGGTGCTTGTGCTGTCCTTCAGAATATTGCAATAATGTTTAATGAGCCAGATGAAGAAGAGGATGTTGATCTAGAAGAACCAGATCCAGAGGTTGAACCACAGGTTGGCCATGACACAGGAAGGCAAATCAGGGCACATATCACAAATAACTTTTTTTAATTGAAATATGTACCATGCATGCATATATGCCACACAACAATTTACAATACATTTTTCCTGAAATTATTTCAATATTGGGAAATACAAGATAATTAAGCACATTCTATAGTAACTTATATTATACACAACAGCACTAGCTGGGGCCCCAAAACAAGAGGTATGTCTGAAAGGTCTTGCAATATTTATATATACATATTTGATTTATTGGCTGCAGCAAACCTTTCAACATTAAATGATTGAAGCTTAACCTAGAACCTATAATAAAACTGGTCCCACTGTAACACAAATGCTGTAATAATGAAATACAAGTAATATTCTCAATAATGTAATTAATTTACTGTATACACTTATAGTACACAATGATTTCAAGCAATGTCTATGTTACCCCCGATATAAATATTATAAATCCCTCAATCAAAAATTATAATCTCTCTACGGAAGATATTAACCTACTGCCATTTGCCTTTTCTTTCAACTCCGCTACCTGTAGTTTCAGTTTCTCATTTTTCAGCAGAATCATTTCCTTTTGCACCTTGAGGACTTCGTATTGCATCTCAAGGACAACTTGCTGGTTAACCTTTTTTTTCAGCTTTGATTTATTTTGAGTTGTTTGGGTGCCAACTGGTAGGGGTGTAGGTTTGGTATGCTGCTCCACATCAATTGGACCATAAACTGGTGTGAAAGAAGGTGGTGGTGTATTTAAATCGTCATCACTGTTATCAAGTTCACAGCTATCAGCTTCCCTTTGCACTTGTACAAAACCGTTACTGTTGGTGTAAACTTCATCGCGCAACAACGTTGCCGATTCCCCTAAAAAAAATTAAAAAATTATCGTATTAATATTGATTTCATTGTGCATGGAAGAAGTAAATAATAAAATTGCGTATATCAAAATGTATAATCGACTGACGACTGGTATCATGACATGCAAATAATCTGCGACCTTGTGAGTTGTGAACTTTACTAAATTATGAAACATAAATACTTATCTTTTTCTGATATTACGGGTAACTACGAAAAATATCACGTCTTTGTAAATAATAAAGTTCGCCAATACTGACGAAAAGCATTCTTTTACAGAAAACGATTTTTTGTTGTTGTGTGCATGAATTGAGAGGCATTGGGAGCCTGGATACGGCAGCAAAACCTGCCTAAACTCGCCCATGAAATCTAAACTTACCGCTCGTTTCAAAGCCACTTAGTCCGGTAAAAGACGGGGTGTTTTCAAATAACCGAATGATCTTCTCCGTGGCTTCTTTGGGTTTCTTAACTGGTGGACCACCTCCTGTTTGTCCAAAGCTTCTCTTTTGCCGCGCGAACTCCTTCTTTGCCGTGGTTTGTAGGTTTTTCCACTTGTCCTTTATGTCTTGCACGGAGCGGTGAGCTATCCCGAGTGCGCTCACTTGCCCGGCAATTTTTGCCCATATTTCCTGCTTCCTTTTATTTGTTATAGCATTTGTAAGCTTTGACTGGATAATTTCTAGATTTTCTTCCACTAATTCCGTTATTATATTAATTTCCGATGTGGAAAAATTTAATTTTCTCTTTCTTTCGTTTTGGCCTAAATTTTTTTCCGCCATTTTGATTTTCGCGCGCTTCTAAACCGTGGGTTAAATTTTTTAACCCAGGGATAACTAATCAACCCGCTAATCCACCTTCCAGCAACGCAGAATTAACCCAGGATTAACTAACCTAGGGTTAAGGAATTTAACCCAGGTTTAGCACTAATCCTGGGTTAAATTTAACCTCCTTTTGAACAACCGGCCCCAGTGCTGTCCGAGTAAAACGTCACCATACTCATCGGTATTTCAAGAATTGGAATAAGACGTTGTGTTAACCTCAAACCTAATATGGCGCCCATCAACTCTAACCTTGGAACCGTCACCGGCTCAATGGTGCAACCTTCGTTTTGGATGATACCATCCGACAGCTAATGGTGGTATCTTCGTACTCACATCGTAAATAGACGATTGCTCCGTAAGCTTTAAGGGAAGCGTCAACGAACGTAATCACAGATTGACTCAGGACTGTTTTTGCCTCACGCAAACATCTTGGCACACGCACGTTCTCCAGGTCTAACAGCTGTTGAAACCACATCTCGATCTTGTCGGCAATTTCGTCTACGATAACATCATCCCAATCATATCCCCTTGACCACAGCTCCCGTAAAAGAATCTTGGCTATAACTACGAATGGACTGATGAGACCAAGCGGATCAAAAACTGTTGCAATCTTCTTCAGTACGTTCAGTTTAGTCAGCAACACTTCTGATGAGCACCCAGGTGAAGATATTGTTAACAGGTCGTCGTTGCTGTGCCAGGCGAGCCCAAGAGTTTTGATGGCTGAAGTTTGGCTGTCACTTATTGATAGTTCAGTTGCTTGCTCTTCCTTTGGTGTTGATGCGATGACTGCCGGGGAATTTGAGATCCATTTCCGTGCTTGCATACCGGCCAAACTCCATAGATCTCTCAGTTGCTGGTATAACTCAATGCCCTCCTTGTCCGTTTCCACACTATCGATCGAATCGTCCATATAGGTGGACTTCAACACAGTCTCTGCAGCCATAGGATATTTTTCTTCATGTCTCCTAGCATTTTCTTGGGCCACGAATTGCGATTCCATTGGTGCAGAATTTTTACCAAACACTACACGATTGAATTCGTAGACGTCTGGTTCTCGGTTACTGTCCAGGTCACGCCATAACAAGCGGAACTTAGGTCGATCACACTCTTCAATTTCAACTTGAAGATACATTTCTTTGACGTCGCACGCCACCGCAACAGGTTTGCGCCGAAAACGGATAAGTACATCAATCAATTCCTTTTGTAGCTTCGGTCCGGCGTAGATAACATCGTTTAACGCGACTCCATGACACTTCGACGAACAGTCAAAAACAATGCGTACTTTCGTGGTGGTCTTATCCATCCTTACAATAGGAAAATGTGGAAGGTACCACACTTCGGATGGAAGCTCTTCCTCAGTCTTGACACAGCGCAGGTACCCCTTTTCAACGTACTCTTCAATTGTTTTCTGATATTCCTGTTCAAGAAATTTCTCTTTTCTTAACTTTTTCTCAGTATTGCACAGACGAGCAGATGCTTCTTCATAATTATTTTTCAATTTAGGTCGGTTCTCCTTCCACGAGACTCCTATCTTGTATCGAGTGCCGTCATAGCTTATCGATGATTCCATCTTCTTTAATGCCAACTGCTCCTCTTCAGTATACACTTCTGCACCATCAATTTCAGCACCATAATTTTCTACCTCCCAAAAGCATTTTATACTACGATCTACTTCACAACACGATGCCTCCATTGATTTTGATGTAGAATCCCTAGTCAATAGAGTTCGTATGACATGTGTCCTTGACTGTGAAGCATCCTCACGTTCTGGTGATCCGATACAGGTCCAGCCAAGCGGAACCAACCGAGCAATTGGGGCCCCAGGTGATCCACGGATGTCAGCTCTGGAGTAGTGTAAATCTGCGTTGTCCGTTCCAATAAGAAGATCCACCGTCCCATCTTTTGCCGGCTGTGCAAAATCACATTGTGTTAAATGATCCCATCTTTCCTTGCTAATGCTCCAATCCTCCACCTTGTAACTTCCCGTAACCTTTCGAGGGCATGTCTTCACACAAATTTTCTTAGAAAACTGTCCATCAACACTTTCAATAGTAACATTTACAGGCATAGACTCAAATGTTTCAATCTCATCATTCAGGACATGCACCTTGACTGCTTGCAATGGCTCTTGAATGCCCAACACTCCTGCAACCTCCGCATTAAGGAATGTCTCGTTTGACGCATCGTCGAGTAGCGCATTAACTTTCACTTTTCGATTGTTCGCTTTTAACCATACTGGAACTGTTCGTAGTGAGAGTGCTTCAGTGGCTGGGGTGTCATGCGTTGTGGTATGAGTGCGGGAACCAACTTCCCCCTCCCGTGGATTAACCGGATTCCTGTCCTCTGGTGGGGCAGAGTCATGCAACAATGCATGGTGATTCTTTACACAACCATCAGTTTTACAAGCTTTAGATCTAAGGCATACCTTCCCCTGGTGGTCACTCCCAAGACAGCGAAAGCACAAACGCTTAACTTTAGCAATGTGCCATCTGTCTGGAACATTCATATTTTGAAACCTTTGACAAGACCATATACCATGGTTCCCCTCACACAATGCACAAGGCGGCTTTACATCCCTCCCATCAACTCCACCACGACCAGCAAATAGTGTATGGGACTGACCTCTATCACCATATCTAAACTTTCCCCCACCAGCTTCATTTCTTTTCATCGACAAATCAATACCTTCAACACCATGTACCATTTCCACAGCTTCCACTCTCACCCTAACCTCTTCCTTCAACCAATCCTTCAAGCTGAACACTGACCTCTCCTTTTTATGTTCCCTAAGCCAACGACTATAACTTTCAACCTGTCTTGCTGCAAGCTTTTTGACCTGCATGCCATGCAACGTGCCTTCCCCCAACTCACCATCACGACCCTCTGCCTGCAACTTAACAACAGTTATCCGAACAAGGTCTGCAAATCTTTCTAAACCCTGCACATTACTACCCTTCAGAGGAGGCATTGCCTCTAGCTGATCCATATAAGCCTGTAACTGTCGCCTTCGCCCCCCAAACTTTGTCTTCAGAATTTCCTTAGCCTCCTCGTATTCCGACATAGAAACCCCCAACTCTCGAATCGCTTCAAGTGCAGTTCCTTTTAAGCTCTGACGTAATCTGGCCATTTTTATATTGGCTGGCTCATCTCCACCATCAACTAAACTACTAAATAGTCCCCAAAAGTCCTCGAACTGTGTTTTATCACCCTCGAACACAGGCACTTTAAGTCAATCAAGCTTATGTTGAGATGCGCCAACGTTATGTCCTGTATTATTTTCTGCTGCTAACAAATTCTGTTGACTTGCTAGTGTTTGTGGAGTATTTACAATACTGACTGGCTCATTTGGTTGCTTTGACTTAGCTTGCAAAAATTTTTTAATTGCATCTTCTGCCTTTTCAATTGCTTGTAATGTTTCAGATTCAAAATTATCTGCCTCTATATTTGTCGCTGCATTACTGTCATGATTGCCAATTTGCAAATAAGCATGGCTGAGCTCCTCCATAACATTCATGCTTTGCTCCAACAACTCCCATAAACCTTCGATTTGCCCTTCTTTTGATTTTATGTCAAGCTCACCTTTTTTTGCACATAATCTTTCCAAACTGTGTCGCACTTTAGTCACTGCTGTCTTTTTTAACCTTTTGTTACGTTTCAGTTTGAGAATTCTTTCATAACTTTCATGCTTTTCGTTCTTTTCACTGGCTGAACTTCCACTTGCCTCAACTGTCTTTTCCTTTCCTTGAGCTTCTTCAGTGTCACTCATTTTTCCCGATATTTATGACGATAAAATGAACAAAAAATACAACTTGCTATACAATGTTCGAATTAACTCCAGCGAAATTACCAATAATTTCAAACTGAAA